ACACTCTCACTCTCTTCTGGTAGACTAGATGGTTATTCTCTACGAGCCTTCTGGGTCATTCTACAGATTCGGTGCCTTTTGTGATTGAGGAGGATGAAACAATGAACATTAAAATCTTAAGCTTTTTTTTATTTGATGTGACAAAGTAATGTGTGTACTTGATAGAAAATACCTTTTCCCATCTCAGTGTAGAGTATTAAGTTATTATTCTGTATTATTTTCTCAAACAAGTCCCAATTTAATTCAACCCCGTCACAGTCATTTTGTTATTCAACTATTCATTTTTCCAATAAGCTTGAGATCAGCTTCTGGCATAATCTCACAGTTTAGATGTCCCTTGTAAATAATGGCATACTGTAATTAAAGAGAAAATCAAGAAAAACTGACCAGCACCATCCTTTCCAGTTTACGATGAAGAAATTTCTAATCTAACTCCACATTTTCGCAAGAAATGTGCAAGAATGCTGCGTAATTCCTGACAAAATTGAAATAGCCTTATTTACCCTGATTTAATACACACAATAAAAACACTATTGATGTTATATTATGTGTATTTAATACAAAAATGTAAAAAAATTATCTCGTAACAGGGATGAATGCACCGCAACAGGGTTGAAAATCATGTCACAGGGTTGAGTGAAAAGCATCACGTGTCATATGTTTTATCTTTTGAGATCACTAACATGTTGCCATTTTTTAAACATTTTAAACATTTTTAAACCTACTGTCAACATAGCTTTTAAAATCTAAAGAATCTAGATGAAAGCTAGACAGAGTAAAACACATTAATGAACTAATAACAGTAACAACATTTCATTGATTTCATAAAAATATCCATCTGATAATGGCAGGAGTCTGTTTGAACATTGAGCAAACATCTTAACATTGATAACCTATATAGGTCACATGTTGCCATTTAACATTTTAAACTACTGTCAACATAGCTTTTAAAGTTTAAACAATCAAGATGAAATCTAGACAGATTAAAACACATTAATAAACTAACAACAGTTACAACATTTTCATTGATTTCATAGAAATATCCAGAGTAATGGCAGGAATGTCTGTGTTGTTTGAATGTTTGAACATTAAGCAAACATCTTAACATTAATAACCTATAGGTAAGCCTACAGTTTGTTCACCATTTTTACTGAGAGAGCCTAGCCCACACTTCCTTCTGTATTTCCATGTGCCTAGAAGTCACCGGTTTAGGGGGATCAATGTGTTCCAAGATGTCCTCAAATGGATACCACAGGATATCATCAAGAAGTGGCCAGAAGTACCTATTTGGTCCAGCACAGCACATGCATTTGACCTGCACATGGGATTCATCTGTGGCTAGAATTATTCCGGGATAGAAATCGTCATCATATTTGGCCACGCACCATTTCCCGCATATGTCTGGATTTGCCCAATCAACCTCCCTCTGTGACACGACTGATGTAACTTTAGGGGTAAATGTGAAATGTTGTGTATTGAAACACTGGCATTCCAGTTTCTTGTTGTGGACTGTGCACATACAGCTTACATCACGGTAGGCAATTTGCCTTGCAGCCACACAAACAACTTGGTGGATCCGCATTGTGGATGGAACTACTGGCAAATTGGCTGGCATACTTTGGACGGCTTTCTCGATGGCCTCGTCTTCAATGAAGTAAAGCTTGATGGCAGTGTTGTTCTCCTCTAAGACCCTGTACAGAGTATGAGCATTTGGGATGTCACATCCTTGACTTATCAGTCTGCGGTTCTTTTTAGGGTTGCACCAACACCATCTGGTGCTCCCTTCCCATGTCCAGGAGAATTACCTGACCACCGGCGCGCGGATGTCCCTCACCTTCCTCTCTATGTGTGTTTCCTTTCTGCTGCTGTTTTTTCCATTGTTGAATCTGAAATTGTAGGTCAAGGTCAAGTCAATGACCTGCTTACTCTTCAAGACTAAATATTGTATCCTTTTAATCACTATGTAGTAAAATGAACATGAACTTGCAGATAATACTCCTAAATATGTCAATGTATATAGGAGAGAGAACAAATTAATTGTCACTTTTTTAAAGTTATTATTTTCAAAAATTCCTCGTACTTTTAGTTGATACTGTAAAACCGTAAACAACAAACATTCAACAAGAAAATATGATTGGTATTAAGCAATATACATTAAATATTGCTAAGATTTAACAGCTATTCAACCCTGTAACAGCCATTCAACCCCGTAACATTGAAAAATGTGATGGGGTTGAATGTGACAGGGTTGAAGATTTTGTGCTAATCTGTTGCTAATTCGGGATGCTAGCAGTGTGCCACATGGCCTTATTCAACAAAAGACATTGTTATACTTCATAGCTATAAAAACAATTCTTGGTAAAATCTTAACTATGAATTCCCCCCCCAACAGAGTTGAATACCTGAGATTGACAAAGCCCATATGTGCTTAAAAAACATGAAATATTTATAAAAAGTGAGATAGCAGCTTACCACTTGTCACACCAGGCTTCTCTGAAGACTTGTATGATGTCACTTCCTCATAAATGATGTCCACAGGATCAAACCATTATTTAATTGTGAGTGGGGGTATTGTTGCGTTACGGGGTTGAAAGAAATACAAGGACAGGGGTAAAAGCCTGAATTTCTCAGAAAATAAAATGTCTTATGCTGAGAAAATGGATTATGCATAATAAGGGGGCATATACAATTAATTTAACAAAAAAAAAGCATTATTATTTAACACTGTGTACTCAAAATGAGTCACGCCATTTGCATGATGGTCAATAGGGACAGGCGAAATTCTTAATACTCCTAAGAAAAGCAAACATATAAGTATTGAAATTCATCTCTGTTTAAAATCATATTCTCTACTCCATATTAAAAACATGTAAAACTTTGAAATGTTGTAATTTAAGTGTAGTTTGATAAATGTTCTGACAAGTTATAACACTAGTACATCTTGGGACACTGACAATACTGAAATGTCACCGAATCTGTAGAATGACCCTCCTTCTACGAAGCAATGGCAATTGTAAACAATTGCGCTCTCACCGTTGACAACCTCAATGATCCAAAAAGTGTTGAGCCACTCACCGCTAATCATCTGCCTACTATGAATTCTACCACAGCTCTACCTCCTCCAGGCAAGTTCATCAGGGAGGACATGTACGCTCGGAAAAGGTGGCGGCATGTTCAATATCTAGCAGAACAGTTTTGGAGCCGCTGGCGAAAAGAGTATCTAGCCAATATCGTCATCAGGCAGCGCTGGCACACCCCGAAGAGAAACCTGCAAATCGGTGACATAGTGATGATGAGAGACGATGATCTGCCTAGAAATGGGTAGAGTTTCAGAGACTACTGTTGATAAAGATGGACTAGTAAGGAGAGTCAAAATATGTGTTGGTGATCGGAAGTTAGACAAGACAGGCAAGAGTCTCACCAAGCTGTCAGTGTTCGAACACCCAGTTCAGAACCTGGTCTTGTTGCTGGAGACTGGTTAAGATAGATGCCCCCAAATCCCTTTACATCCTATATCTAACCATGATCTCTTATACTTTTAAAGGGTTTGTGCTATGATTCCATACCATTCTGATACCCTATTTATGGTCATAGGTCATTTAAAGTACAGAAATCATTCATGCTTTGTGTATACCATGTACATTGTTCCAAATCACTCATGATTTGGTGGGAGTGTAGATGAACCCCTTAAAACGAGTGTCAGATCACAATGTCTGCTCTATATTTGGACTTTTATTTTCTTTGTACGAGCTTTCAATCCTCACTGTATATTTGACAGTTTAGTGTGACTTTTATTTTGATAGCAGGTTTTTTGCCTTCTCTGTTTTAAGCACAAAGGGTATATGGGAAACGGGCGCGAGAGAGAAAAAGTTAAATATATTTTTGTACAAGCACCCAAGAAACAACGTCAAACTTAGCACCTAGCTGGAAAGAGAACAAGGTATTTACTGTCTTTCAATATTGGTCTTGTTTCAGATATCTTTCTGTGTAATGAACGGATATTTGTGTTGTAATTGATGTTCTGAAGTCTCCTAACAATATGACGCACTGTTTGTGCTGGCTAATATTAGTTAATCTTGCACCACATTAGCAAGCTGTTAGCACAAAATCTACTATTTGGGTAGAAACCCTCATGCATATTGATAAATGTATGAAGCATGCTAATGTAAAGTTGTGTAAAAGTGTATTTTTTTGTGGACTATATTCTTCATATTGTAAGAGCATTTTTGGTTTATTTCTCCATCAGCTCTTACGGTGTGCTTTATGGAAATGGTACCGCATTAAACTTTCATGAACCATCAGTTTGAGAGATGAGCATTCATTCAGCTGGGGATGCTACAGGGCACAAAAGCTCTTACAGGGTATCTCGTGAATCCTAACTTTATGAGAAGAGACTCTTCATCAAAGTACAGTAGCATGAATAAAGTTCATTTATTTTCTCCATCCACCATACAGGTCAGTTGACGTGCACCAACCAATCCATCGATGTCTTCAGTACTATCCTCTGCCTTTATTTCTTGCGCCACCCCAGAAATAACGACCTTGATAGGCACCCTGTTACGAAAATCCATACAGGAAACATTCTACTCCGATATCGTTTTTTGTCTTAAAACAGGCTTATTCTGCTCCGCAGACAAACAAAAAATCAGAATAAAACCACTTCTTGTGATTGTCACTGACTCCAACACATTCCAGATTTTCCTCGAGACGTTTAACGGATTTCCCAAGTAGCATTGATCCAAAACCCTCACTCCGACTAATAACGAGTCTAGTGGTTTCCTATTTTCCACCACAGCTTTACTTCTCTTGTTTCCCCTTTTCTTCCCCACTGTAACCCACTCATTATCACTTTCTGTACTGTTAGCTTCACCCGACTCATTAGCAGTTTCAAAACAAAACCTCAGTTTCTGCCAATCTTGCTGTCCCCGTCTCCAATCCTGAAAATCTTCTTGGCCATCCATAGCCAAATGAAGCCCTCCCCTTCCCAAAAAAATAAATACATGCCAGGTGCACCCCCCGAATTCGTGATTTGCTAATTAATCAGGGATGCAAAAACTATGCAGCGCACCTGACCAGGGATGCAAAAACCATGCAGCACACCTGACCGGTAATTGTTCCTCATTAAAACCCTCCTATCCCACACAGCCTCCTAACAAACATAACATTTACATTTACGTCATTTAGCAGACCCTCTTATCCAGAGCGACTTACAAATTGGTGCATTCTCCTTATGATAGCCAGTGGGACAACCACTTTACAATAGTTTTATTATTATTATTTATTTTAAAAAAAATTGGGGGGGGGTGGGTAGAAGGATTACTTTTATTTTATCCCAGGTATTCCTTAAAGAGGTGGGGTTTCAAGTGTCTCCGGAAGGTGGTGAGTGACTCCGCTGTCCTGGCGTCGTGAGGGAGCTTGTTCCACCATTGGGGTGCCAGAGCAGAGAACAGTTTTGACTGGGCTGAGCGGGAACTGTGCTTCCGCAGAGGTAGGGGAGCCAGCAGGCCAGAGGTGGATGAACGTAGTGGCCTCGTTTGGGTGTAGGGACTGATCAGAGCCTGAAGGTACGGAGGTGCCGTTCCCCTCACAGCTCCGTAGGCAAGCACCATGGTCTTGTAGCAGATGCGAGCTTCAACTGGAAGCCAGTGGAGTGTGCGGAGGAGCGGGGTGACGTGAGAGAACTTGGAAAGGTCGAACACCAGACAGGCTGCAGCGTTCTGGATAAGTTGTAGGGGTTTAATGGCACAGGCAGGGAGCCCAGCCAACAGCGAGTTGCAGTAATCCAGACGGGAGATGACAAGTGCCTGGATTAGGACCTGTGCCGCTTCCTGTGTAAGGCAGGGTCGTACTCTGCGAATGTTGTAGAGCATGAACCTACAGGATCGGGTCACCGCCTTGATGTTAGCGGAGAACGACAGGGTGTTGTCCAGGGTCACGCCAAGGCTCTTTGCACTCTGGGAGGAGGACACAACGGATATGTCAACCGTGATGGCGAGATCATGGAACGGGCAGTCCTTCCCCGGGAGGAAGAGCAGCTCCGTCTTGCCGAGGTTCAGCTTGAGGTGGTGATCTGTCATCCACACTGATATGTCTGCCAGACATGCAGAGATGCGATTCGCCACCTGATTATCAGAAGGGGGAAAGGAGAAGATTAATTGTGTGTCGTCTGCGTAGCAATGATAGGAAAGGCCATGTGAGGATATGACAGAGCCAAGTGACTTGGTGTATAGCGAGAATAGGAGAGGGCCTAGAACTGAGCCCTGGGGGACACCAGTGGTGAGAGCACGTGGTGCGGAGACAGATTCTCGCCACGCCACCTGGTAGGAGCGACCTGTCAGGTAGGACGCAATCCAAGAGTGAGCCGCGCCGGAGATGCCCAACTCGGAGAGGGTGGAGAGGAGGATCTGATGGTTCACAGTATCAAAGGCAGCAGATAGGTCTAGAAGGACGAGAGCAGAGGAGAGAGAGTTAGCTTTAGCAGTGCGGAGAGCCTCCGTGACACAGAGAAGAGCAGTCTCAGTTGAATGACCAATCTTGAAACCTGACTGGTTTGGATCAAGAAGGTCATTCATTTTGTTTTGGAGAGACTGTTGCATGCAGAAATTATCATTGCCTATGTCTTTTTTTAACCAATAGGTTTTGAAACCATGGACCAAAAGATCCCATATGATGACTACCAACTCCCAGTGGTCTTTCTGCCTTTTTTTTTTTTTTTTTTTTTTTGTAATGTTTACCAGACGCTCTTATCCAGAGCGACTTACATGAGCAATTAGGGTTAAGTGCCTTGCTTAAGGGCACATCGACAGATTATTCACCTAGTCGGCTCGGGGATTAGAACCTGCCTTCCTATGAGTCCCCCAGCATGGATAGCCCCTCAGGAGGTATGAGCCTGAGATTACATCCATACCCTGTCATAACACTGTCAACAGCCAGTCTAGTTCACTGCCACCTCAGATCTTCAATGATGTTCCCTCTGTGTCCTGTCTGTATGTGTAGCAGATCCACCATCCTGACTACAACAAGGAGCTGACCCAGTTCCTGCCATGCACCATCATGTTGAAGAAACCTCCAGGGGCACAGCTATGTATGTGTGTGTGTGTGAGAGAGAGAGGCTGGTGCAACTGCCCAATCAACTGCTTCTCAGACACTTTCCATTTTTTAAAAGATATGTTTTTGCTTTTTCATTTTGTCAGTAATCACCCTTCTCCTTAATCTCTTTGTGTGTATGTTGCTAGGTGGTCCCAGATTCGGACGCCCACAGGGCAGGGCTCCAGGAGGGAGATCAGGTGCAGTCTGTCAATGAGGTGGACTTCCAGGACATAGCGCACTCGAGGATCAGGGATGTACTGTAGACCATACAACACTATACACACAACACTATACCTCTTGATAAATCTCATTACTTCATTTTTAACCTCAACACTAACTTGTGTAAAAAAAAAAAAAAAAAAGGTTAATCGTTTTCGGCATACATTTCTCATAGAAATTGTTTCTTCTCCTCTCAGGCTGTAGAGATTCTGAAGACTGCCAGGGAGATTCTGACGACGGTGCGCTTCTTTCCCTACAGTAAGCGTTGCTTTCACCTGCTCCGCCATTTAATATTAAGAAAGTGCCTAAATTGTATCTACTGTATATGGTGCCATTATTGCTTTATGCCTTATGTCGTCACCTTTGCAACCTGTGAAGTTTTTTTTAATGGTTTTTATGTAACTCCCTGTTTCCCCATAGACTACCAGAGACCGAAGGAGAGGACTGTGGACTAGGTGACAGAAGAGTTTCCCGGGAGAGTGAGAAACAGTGAGCATGGTTAATATAATAGTTCGTTTAAAACGTTTACATGCTTTGCAAGAAGAACGATCAGGCTACCTGATGGGACTTTTGATAAATGCAGAAAATCGCCAATCAAAATAAAACGTTCTACCACAGTGGCCATGTAATTGTTGCAAAGACTATTTGATTCGGAGTTCGCATATATAAAGTTTGTGTATGTGAAAACGTTTTCTAAGATGAATACTTTCAGTTTTTCTGAACTCACTTCACTCACACATAAGAGGGGAGCTTGCGCTACTGTTACTGGCACATGCACAGATCAAATACACAGCTGGAACGCTGATTAAGCTGTTTACATGTCCTAATAATTAGAAAGATTGCTCAGAAACCCAGGTGTTTTAATTGGCATGTGCTTACTTTGATTATGACCGTACGTCGATTTAAGATAAGCAAAGTAACAATGTGAATACATGACTAATGCCATATTCGGCCTTCTGTCATAATCAGTTGAATATAGAATTATTAATGTGCATATAAACGTACTCAGTGTGTCAGTCTCATAGGAGTAGACGTCCTTGGTGGATAGATTTATCTTCCCATAGACTACAGCCCCCGTCCTCCGTTTCAAGCTAAGGATGAACGCCCTAATGACTATCTGGTCCTTTCACACTTACATCCAGGACCACATAAAGACTTTACATTCCCCCTCTCTTCCTCCACATACAAAACGATGCACACTGCTTCAGATGCTGGAAGAATTTAGTTATATCAGGTGTTCACTCATTCACACAGCGAGTCATGCACTGAAGATAAACTGTTTTCTCTAGTGTTGATGCTAACATACTTAAAGAGCAGGAATTAGTATGGGTTGGGAGACACACTAGTGCTTCTCTTATATGCAAGAGCCCTGGAGCATTATGGTGTGTAAATTATATAGATTATTTACAGTACTCTGATATGCAAACTACATAAACTGAAGTGCATGTCAGAGGGACATATTCTTAAGGAAGTTCTCATCACTGAAAATGCCATAAAGGGATTGAGTGATGGACTGGACTAAAGCTTGCAGTCCTTGTGACTTTTTGTTTTTAATTAACCTATCTGCTTTCACTCACCTCTGACCAGAACAATGTGAATACTAAGTGCTAAACTGGTTACCCCTAGTGTGTGTGCTTATATATGAGAACAGTGTAATGATATTCCAAAAATATTTATAATGCACCAAAGTATAAACATTTACGTCAGTACATGTCATACCAACAAAATCCACTAGAGGACAGACAAGTTAAAGGAATTATTATTGACCTGCGTAGTCCTGTTATTGTAGCAATAAGAGGGGGTTGATTTGTGTGATTTGAAAGGGGCTATTGTGTATTGCGGCACATTACATTATGTACAAAAATCTGTTCGCTCTTGTTATTTTAGAGGGTGTTTTATTTCCTTTTAATGGCCTGCTGACTGAATAATTTGAGGTTATATTAAATGAATCAACATAATTGAAGTGTTACAGAACACCAAAGTAACCAGGGTAACCACACTGAGATATTTAGTCTTGGGCTCAGATACTATAAGTTACATTTACATTTACATTTGAAGGTTGTATGCTACGCTACATGGCAAGAAGTTACTGATCACTGTTAAAATATATTATTTGGGGGGGGGCGGGACGACACACGTTCTGGTGAGGCTCAGTCTCGCTAGGTAAGCGGTTATCGGTAAGTGTGCACTAGGGGTTAGTTCAGGGTGTAAGTGTGTACTAGGGGTTAGTGCAGGGTGTAAGTGTGCACTAGGGGTTAGTGCAGGGTGTAAGTGTGTACTAGGAGTTAGTGCAGCCTGTCGTTTGGGGAGAGGTCAGCACTGGGTTCTTCTAGTTCTCAATGTGAATGGATATTACTTTTCTTTTTTTCTTCTATTTTGTTGTTTTCTGCCCCTCCCCACCTCCCTGTCCCCCTTGCAGAGGTTTTCAAAGGTTTTGCATAGCCTTACTCTTAACTATGGCATTGCCAAATAGACTAGGCAGTGCAGCAACTAAACTAAAGTTGGAACCTGCGCGGTTTGAACCACCCAGTCAAATTAAAAAGGGTATTTGCCCATTTACAGAAATTAAAGGTGGATATAGTGTATTTCCAGGAAACACATCTACGCATGACGGATCATTCTAGACTCAAACGGGGAGGATTCTCACAGATATTCCATTCCAAGTTTCATGCTAAATGCTGTGGCTCTGATATTTTGATTCATAGAGATGTTTAGTTTGTAGAATAAAAGGTTATATTGGACAAAAATGGCCGTATTGTGCAGGGCAAACTATTCAACATGCCAGTTGTATTAGCCAGTATTTATGCTGGTAGCTTTATTTATCAGCAGGTAGCTTAGTGGTTAAGAGCGTTGTGCCAGTAACCGAAAGGTCGCTGGTTCTAATCCCCTAGCCGACTAGGTGAAAAATCTGTCGATGTGCCCTTGAGCAAGGCACTTAACCCTAATTGCTCCTGTAAGTCGCTCTGGATAAGAGCGTCTGCTAAATGACTAAAATGTAAATGTAATTGGGACAATTACCAGTTTTTCTGAGAGTTTTTCTCACTCCTCCCAGATCTGAACACTCACCAACTTATACAGTACTAGCGGGGGATTTTAACTGTGTCCTGCACCCCACATTAGACCGCTATAAAGCGATATCAGGGTCCCTTTCTAAATCAGCACGTGTTATTCATTCGTTTAACCAGGCATATGGTGTAACAGAGCCCTGGAGATAAATAAATCCTACATATAAACAATAATCTTTCTTTTCCCCCAGTCCATCGGACGTATTCCATAATTGATCTTTTCCTCCTAGACAACAAGTTGCTCTTGATACTAAAGTCCACTGATTATGAGGGGATTGTCATCTCAGACCACAGCCCAGTGGTAATGGTATTGTGTTTTCCTGATAACATTCTCCCACAACGCACTTGGTGACTCAATCCACGTCACGGAAGAATTTAACACGGATATCGGGCCAAATAGATTTTTTCCTTGAGACAAGTATGTGCACCCTATGTGAAGCGCTGAAAGCATACCTACATGGCCAGATCATATCATATAATGCCGGCGTGAATAAGAGGAGGTAGGCGCGTCTTACAGAATTGACTAACCTTATAATGGACATTGATCAGAAGCAATCAACCACACCATCTGCAGACCTCTATAAGGAGAGAATCACATTACAGACTGAATTTGATACTCTTTTGACCGGTTTAGCAGAGGACCTCCACTTAAAATCCAGACGAAAACAATGTGAATATGGAGAACCGGCCAGTAAACTTCTTTGCTATCAACTGAGGCAATCGGCAGCTTCTGGCCTAATACCTGAAATCACAACCTCAGCAGGTGTGACCACCTCAGACCAAAAGTGTATTAATTGTCAATATAAAGATTTCTACGAGGACCTTTACTCATCAGAAGCAAATGATAGCTCTCTAACCACACACATTTGTTTTTACAACCTTTTGATTCCTGCACTAGCTCTGGAAAACTAATCAGATCTTGAGAAGCCCTACTCTGTAGCAAAGATTGACCGGGCAATAAAATCAATGAAAGGCGGTAAGGCCCCGGGTCCCGATGGTTACCCAATTGAGTTTTACAAAAGATTATCTTCTAAGCTGACACACTTATTATGTGACGTCTATGCTGTAATATCAGTCCTCCTGAAAAAGGGGAAAGACCCTGTTAGCCTGCTTTGCTGTGACCATAAGATATTTACTAAGGCTCTGGCTATCCGATTAGAAGCGGTTATGCCTACAATAATACAACCCGATCAGAGAGGCTTTATCACGGGCAGACATTCATTCGGTAACCTACGGCGCTTATTCAATATTCTTTACTCACCAAATTCTTCCCCCACTCCAGAAGCACTGATCTCTCTGGATGCTCAGAAGGCCTTTGACCGTATTGAATTTGAATACCTTCTTACTGCACTTGAAAGATTTGGATTTGACCCTACTTTTGTCTCGTGGATAAAGGCCCTGTATTCAGCTCCTCAAGCATCTGTTCGTACTAACAGCACCCTTTCACAATATTTCTCCCCGCATAGAGGAAATCGGCAGGGCTGTTCGCTGAGTCCTCTCCTATTTGATATAGCCATCAAACCCATAGTCATCTCCCTGAGAGGCAGTGCAGGGATGACGGGTATAAGTTGAGGAGGGCAGGTCCACAAACTGTCTCTGTATGCTGACGACCTCCTACTGTGTATCACAGACCCCATCACTTCTAACCCAATCACTCTCGATAGAATCTCCAGATTTGGCAATGTTTCAGGTTACAAAATCAACTTCACAAAAAGCGTACTCTTTCCGATTGATAAGCAAGCAATAGATCTATCTTTGAATTGATTTCCTTTCACGGTAGCTCCCAATACTTATTTAGGGGTCTGTGGGACTCGGAAATTCAAAGACCTGTTCAATTTTTATTTCAAGCCAGCCTTGGCGAAGGCTAAGCAGGACCTTAATCGCTGGCAGACACTCCCTATATCACTCGCTGGCAGACACTCCCTATATCACTCGCTGGCAGACACTCCCTATATCACTCGCTGGCAGACACTCCCTATATCACTCGCTGGCAGACACTCCCTATATCACTCGCTGGCAGACACTCCCTATATCACTCGCTGGCAGACACTCCCTATATCACTCGCTGGCAGAGTCAACTCGGTCAAGATGGTCATCATGCCAAGATTCCCGTATCTGTTTCAAACAATTCCCATCTTTTATAGCAAAATATTTTTTTAAAGAACTGGATAGACATATACAGTATCTACTTCAGTGGAGGCTGCTGAGGGGAGGACAGCTCATAATAATAGTTGGAACGGAGCGTATGGAATAGCATCAAACACCTGGAAACCATATGTTTGATGTATTTGATACCATTCCACTAATTCCGCTCCAGCCATTACCACAAGCCCGTCCTTCCCAATTAAGGTGCCACCAACAACCTGTGATCTACTTTCATTTGGAATAAAAAGATTACACAGTTGCATAAAGCGTTTTTGGAAAGACAGAAAGGAGAGGGGCGTCTTGCCCTACCCAATTTCCTCCATTACTACTGGGCTGCCAATATTCACAAGATAACCTTTCGGGTCGCTACATTCTTAAAGGGGAAGGACTGGTGTGGTCCCTTATGGAAAAGCACTCATGTCAAACATCATCCCCAGTTTCCTTAGTCTGTTCCCCCCTACCATTGAGCAAACAATATCACTCAAACAACCCTATTGTGAAAAGCTCACTCAGGATATGGTTTCAGTTTAGGATCCACTTTGGACATAGACAAGCTATCTCATCCATGCCTTTTATTTCCAACCCACTCTTCACGCCCTCCTTCATAGACACAGCCTTCCAGCTATGGTTTCAGAAAGGATTGAAGAGTGTAAAATACCTTTTCCATGACTGTGTATTTATCCCCTTTGAACATCTAGTTAGAGTGCACAGTATACCCCAGACACACTTCTTCAGGTACCTGCAGATTCACAACTTTACAAAAAAGATGTTCCCCTCTTTCCCATCTCTCCCACCCACTAGCTGGCTTGATGAATGTTTGAACCTGGATCCCTATGTAAAGGGACACATTTTGATGCTGTATGACATTATTCAGAATATTGCATGCCCCACTTGACCATGTAAAGCATTCATAGGAGGAAGAGTTTGGAAGCGAGATCTCCGATATCACCTGGCATTCTGCAATTGACAGGATACATTTATCTATCTGCATGAGACATGGGTTACTACAGTTTTCAAAGTATTTAATCGCCTACACTTTTGCAGGAGTAGACTTGCCAGATTGTATCCCGATATAGACCCAAACTGCTCTAGATGCCATCAGGCATTCTGTATCATATGCACTGGTCATGCCGACGCTAGTTCCATTCTGGTCCTTTATCTTTGAGACTTTCTCTGTATATGCAATAAGGAAATTGCCCCAGATCCCTCTGTCGCTATTTTCGGGGTAGGCCCCGAAGGGCTTACTTTCTGTAACACCCAAGCAGAGGCCATAGCCTTCTGGCCCGCACACTTCATTTTGAGTGGAAGTCAGATACACTGCCATCACATGACTGGGTTAGGGGTGTTATGGCCCCTCTTACACTGGGTTAGGGATGTTATGGCCCATCTGAAACTGGGTTAGGGATGTTATGGCCCATCTGAAACTGGGTTAGGGATGTTATGGCCCATCTAAAACTGGGTTAGGGATGTTATGGCCCATCTGAAACTGGGTTAGGGATGTTATGGCCCATCTGAAACTGGGTTAGGGATGTTATGGCCCATCTGAAACTTGGTTAGGGATGTTATGGCCCATCTGAAACTGGGTTAGGGATGTTATGGCCCATCTGAAACTGGGTTAGGGATGTTATGGCCCATCTGAAACTGGGTTAGGGATGTTATGGCCCATCTGAAACTGGGTTAGGGATGTTATGGCCCACCTGAAACTGGGTTAGGGATGTTATGGCCCATCTGAAACTGGGTTAGGGATGTTATGGCCCATGTTAAACTGGGGTAGGAATGTTATGGCCCATCTGAAACTGGGTTGGCGGAGTATCTCACTGGGTTAGGGATGTAATGGCCCATCTTAAACTTGAGAAGCTAAAATATTCCACCCGTGGCTCCTCTCAAAAGTTTTATAAGGTCTGGCAGCCATTTCGCGACTACTTTGGCCTACTGAGAACTTAATGTAGCCTCTGCTTAATGTAGCCTATACTGTGTATAATATTTAGGAAATGTAATATGAAATGTTTAGAGGTTATCTAAGATGCAGGCATTTTTTCACAGACTACTAATTATTAGTTATTAACTACCTTAAATTATATTTCACATAACCGGTCGACTATTAAGGTGCCAACATCCCTCATTCAACTATGGCGACAGCAACTGCCTTGTATGAAGCTCACTACATGAAACAAAATCACATTTTGTGTTCTGTGCCACAGTTCATGGTCCCTCACTTATAAAATGTCAGCATGGAATGTGTTCCAAATCTGTTTTAACGTGTCTGAAATAGATGGGATAGTGACTCTAAATCACTGTTGTGTCCATTAATGACTGTAAAGATGGAGTCAGGATACTCTTTCTGTCCTGACCCACTTCATAGATCATGGTCTTGTAGAACACTAAATAAAAATAACATTTAATCTCTTTATCTTCCCAGTAATCAATCTTCTCAAGTTTCCCAGTAACCTTATTTGATATGCTTTCTTCAATGAAAGAATAATTACTACATGGGTACAGAAGCCGACTCAACATGTAGGCTAATCAGACCATTCTACACATGCAGTTGCCCTGATAACACCAACCCTCCCCTTAGAAAAACAGGCCTTATTTTGCTCCAGTGACACTACAGTAGATTAACTAATTGTTCCACTTTGAGTTTGTTGACTGACTCACCATAAAGACATCCTGACTGACAAAGCAAATCAAAGTAATTACACACGTACATGTGAACCGTATCTTGAGATTTATATATATATTTTTTAAATACAATCATGTCTTCAAAGTCGGGTTCAACAGCTCAGTTTGCAAGGCTAACTTCAAGATCCTAGTTTGATCTGTCATGACATTATTTGAAAAGTAACTTTATGAAAATAAATACACTTTAAAGGGGTAAGATCTCTGACGGCAATTCCAATCTTCAGGGAATAACACAAAAATCTATCGTACAATTCACCTAAATTAATAACTCATTTGATAAAATACTAAGTGTGATATTACTCAAAAGATTTCCATTGAATGAAGTCACCATTGGATCCTTTATTCAGTGCCTACAGTAAGACCAAGGCATACATAACCACCAAGGCATACATAACCACCAAGGCATACATAACCACCAAGGCATACATAACTAGCAATGGTATTAACTCCATTGACGCCCTCCCAGACTGCACAACATTTCAATAAATATCGATATGAGAACCCACAGAATGACAAGGCACTCTGTCTATCCATGTGGAGGGTGAACCATACTCTTGGCTACCATGTGCATGTTAATCAGGAGAATAGTCAAGTCTATACAATGTAGCTCAATAAATACGTTTCCCATAAAATGTTTTTTTTTTTTTAAACAGAACATACAAAAAACCCTCTTGACTTTCATTTATACTCAGGATATCAAAACAGCCAATCCTGGCTATTCTTCAACTTTGTTCTGAATTATTCCAAACTTAATATGAAATTGTATCAGACTATAAAGCTTGGCTGATAATATAAAAAGAGCTGATGCTGCTGGTGTTTCTAAAAGTAGCTGCATGTAACAATCAACAACCAGGTCCTACTATCAAACACTTCTTCTGCCAGTGCACTGTCTGGAGTTGGCACAGTTAGTTGGCAAATCATTATCAGTTCAGTTCAAGTGGAGTGGATGAACCAGAATTGCCACTCGTTGGTATGATGTTCCGCTTCATAAGACCAAACAGATGTAAACAGTTAATTATCTCGATCATCCGTAAAGACAAAAACTGGATAAATACAACATAAATTGGGGGTAGATCGGAGACTTTAAAGATTGGGATAAAAGTGCCATGGAGAGTGTCGTGAGGTCTGCGTGAGCATGTCCATCCGTCCTCTCTTGGCTCGGTTTCATCCCCTCTGACAGATGTGCTCAGCTGCTATCCTCTGCCTTGTCGCTCTCCTGAATGTCCAGCTGGGTGCTCTCGTCAACGTTCTCCAGAGAGTGCCCCCGCTGGATGGCCAGCTCAGATGGGTCCATCATGGGCAGGGTGCTCTGCTCTGGGTACAACCAGGGCTTCTGATCCGGAGAGTTCTGCTTCTTCCACTCGGGGTAGCTCTGGCCAGCCTTGTGCACACACTTCAGCACCTGCAGGGAGAGAGGAGGGCGTCAGAGACATAGAGCTGAGCCCCAGCCTAGTTTTTCCCATTCCCTTCATTTACTGCACTTTTTGACAGTTCTGCCCAGAGGCATATACATGTACAGTGAGTGTACAAAACATTAACAACACCTTCCTAATATTGAGTTGCACCCCCCCTCTACAAGGTGTCGAAAGCGTTCCACAGGGATGCTGGCCCATGTTGACTCCAATGCTTACCACAGTTGTGTAAAGTTGTCTGGATGTCCTTTGGGTGGTGGACCATTCTTGATACACCTGGGAAACTGTTGAGCGTGAAAAACCCAGCAGCATTGCAGTTCTTGACACAAACCGGTGCTCCTGGCACCTACTACCATAACCCGTTCAAAGGCACTTAAAATCTTTTTTCTTGCCCATTCACCCTCTGAATGGCACACACACACAATCCATGGCTCAATTGTCTCAAGGCTTAAAAATCCTTCTTTAACCTGTCTCCTCCCCTTCATCTACACTGATTGAAGTGGATTTAACAAGTGACATCAATAAAGGATAATAGCTTTCACCTGGTCAGTCTATGTCATGGAAAGAGCAGGTGTTCTTAATGTTTTGTATACACAGTGCCTTCAGAAAGTATTCACACCCCAGAAAGTATTCAGGCTGTTGTGCTGGCCTACACACAATACCACAATGTCAAAGTGGAATTATGTTTTTAGATTTTCTTTAACAAATTGATTATATCTGAAAAGCTGAAATGTCATGAATCAATAAGTATTCAACCCCTTTGTTATGGTAAGCCTAAATAAGTTCAGGAGTAAAGTACTTAAGTAAACATACTTTAAAGTACTACTTAAGTATTTTAGGGGGGTATCTGTACTTTACTATTTATATTTTTTGACAACTTACTTTTATTTAATTACATTCCTAAAGAAAATAATGTACTTTTTACTCCATACATTTTCCCTGACAGCCAAAAGTACTTGTTACATTTTGAATGCGTAGCAGGACAGGAAAATGGTCCAGTTCATCCCTGGTCATCCCTACTGCCTCTGATCTGGCGGACTCACTAAACACAAATGCTTCATTTGTAAATTATGTCTAAATGTGTTGGTGTGCCCCTGGCTATCCGTAAATAAAAAAACAAGAAAACTGTGCCATCTGGTTTGCTTAATATAAGTAATTTGAACTTATTTATACTTTTACTTTCAATACTTAAGTGTATTTTCGTAATTACATTTACTTTAGATACTTAAGTATATTTAAAACCAGATACCTTTAGACTTTTACTCAAGTAGTATTTTACTGGGTGACTTTCACTTTTACTTGAGTCATTTTCTATTAAGGTATCTTTACTTTTACTCAAGTATGACAATTGGGTACTTTTTCCACCACTGAATAAGTTGCATGGACTCACTCTGTGAGCAATAATAGTGTTTAATATGATTTTTGAATGACTACCTCATCTCTGTACCCCACACACACAATTATCTGTAAGGTCCCTCAGTCGAGCTGTGAATTTCAAACACAGATTCAACCACAAAGACTAGGAAGGTTTTCCGATGCCTCGCAAAGAAGGGCACCTATTGGTAGATGGGTTTTAAAAAAAAAAGCAGACATAGAATATCCCTTTGAGCATGGTGAAGTTATTAATTACACTTTGAAAGGTGTACAAATACACCCAGTCACTACAAAGCTACAGGCATCCTTCCTAACGGAGTTGCCGGAGAGGAAGGAAACCGCTCAGGGACTTCACCATGAGGCCAATGGTGACTTTAAAACAGTTATGGCCGTGACAGGAGAAAACTGAGGATGGATCAACAACATTGTATTTACTCCACAATACTAACCTAATTGAAGGAAAAGAAAAGAAGGAAGCCTGTACAGAATACAAATCTTACAAAACATGCATCCTGTTTGCAAAAAGACACTAAAGTAGTACTGACACAAATGTGGCAAAGCAATTCACTTTTTGTCCTGAATACAACGTGTTACGTTTGGGGCAAATCCAATACAACCATTCTGAGTACCACTCTCCATATTTTTAAGCATAGTGGTGGCTGCCTCATGTTATGGGTGTGCTTGTAATTGTTAAGGACTGGGGAGTTTTTCAGGACAAAAAAAATTAATGGAATGGAGCTAAGCACAGGCAAAATCCTAGAGGAAAACCTGATTCAATTTGGTTCCAATTTGACAGAGCTTGAAGAATTCGGGAAAGAATAATGGGCAAATGTTACGTAATCCAGGTGTGGAAAGCTCTTAGAGATTTACCCAGAAAGACAGAGCTGTAATTGCTGCCAAAGGTGCTTCTACAAAGTATTAACTCAGGGGTGTGAATACTTATGTAAATTATATTTCTGTATTTAACTTTCAATAAATGTGCAAAAGTTTCTAAAAACATGTTGTTTTCACTTTGTCATTATGGGTTATTGTGTGTAAATGTGTAAAAGAAAATCAATTTTGAATTCAGGCTGGAACACAACAAAATGTGGAAAAAGTCAAGGGTTGTGAATACTTTCAACTTCATGTACATAATTTGTGTTTTACTAATTTATATAATGTAATTATATTAAAATGCGCTTAAGTGGGGTGCTATTCAAAGGGACTTTTTGAAGAGCAGCCAGCTGTTGATCATTAATCAGTAGGTCAAGGTTTGCATTCAATCACAGCTATGAGCCACACACACAATCTTGGTTTCGCACACAAAGATACACCTTGCCCTACACAGTTTCACGCTGCACATGCTATGAAACCAGGAAAACTAGTTCTACAGGGCCGGTGAGAGTCAGTTGCTCTACCTGAGAGACTACATTGTCAAAAAGCTGAGCAGGACCTTCCAGTGTGTTTCTATGGTTACTATTGTCATTTAAGGAGACTTGAAACCCACATTCGCTGTGCTTCGATCGCGCACTTTTACTATCTAGTTCAAGGACAATAATTACCACTGTAGCTCTAAGACACACTCATGTATTGGCTGACTGTTGCTTTGGAGCCAAATTAAAAACGAGTTATAACTCTGTCGTCAAACACAAAGAAGCTAAAGATTTTAGCCGAAGGGAGATGAATAACAATGTTGTCTGAGGTTATTCACGTACCCTGGGAGCCAGAACCTGAGATGCTTTGTTCACCACCCACTTTGGAAGAGAACCTGAAATACAGAATAATCCAAATAACCAATAATCACTGCAACTCTTCATACCTGTAGTATAACATACTCTGTATCAAATATCTTTCAACAAAGAAAAGACAACTGAAGCATAGGATCTGAAAAAGGTCAGTGGAAGGTGGGTCTCACCTTTGGGGTCAGCCTGTGAGAGGTAGGTAAAGGAGCAGCTATTGGGTCCTGTGGCCTTCACCAGGTAGCCAGTCAGGAGGGAGATGGCTCTCACAAGGTCCTTTTTAGGAGGATATTTCTGTGAAGAAATAATAACCAAATCAGCGGAGAAGTTATCACTTGCATACTCTGAAGCCACGTGAATGACAAGAAACAAATGAATGTTACAACCTTGTAATATGCTGCGTCCATACTGTTCCAGGCAAATATTGAGAGAGAAACACTTTATACATGATGATGTGGTTTTAATGTGGATAGAGAAATTATGTTTTTATTGCAATGTGTCTCTGCTCTACCATTCCTATGGTCAATGTCAGCTATTGTCCTCATATATGTACACTGATGTAACATTCAGTAACTACTAGTAACTGCAGACAGACTGATGCATGTACTGGATGGTTGCGAAGAGCCAAAGTCCACAGACAGAGGAGGTGGAGGTGCATGGCGTACATACTGGGTGTTTGACTGAGTAGTTAATGATCACATACTCGTCGTCCGTCACCTGCCACGAACGCAGCGTCACCACATCTCTGTTCTTCAGTGGCTTCGGACACATCCCTGAAAACAACAACAGGACAACAAATGTAAAACAACTTGAGGAAAGATTTCTCACTTACAAACACCCCCCCCCCCCCCCCCCCCCCCTGCCTCTCAATGTCAGGGTAGCCAAAGATTCAGAGGATCAACAGAGGCAGCAACTGGACTCTCATGTTGACTAAATACAGTCTGCAAAACAGGTCACTCATGCCTTGTCTGAGCTGAAGACACTGTGAAGGGGTACCATGGAGGAAGGGATTCCTTAAAGGAAGGGGAAAGTGGACTGAATGTTAATAAGAGATTTTATACCAGATTTACTGCACATTTTCACCTGTGGTCATGTCATGTTTGAACCTGTGGTTTAAAGTCAATCGTTAGTAAAGTTGACCCATCAGGTTCTTGCACTGAGAGAAGAGACAAAACAACAGAGAGGAATGTGGAACAGCACGCTTAACTCTAGCAGATAAGAGGAACTCACATGAGTAGTAACCCATATCGGCGTTAGGTGAGAGACGGGCAATGTCAAAGCTCTCCAACATGGAGGGGTCCCACTTCTTGCGATACTGTCCATCATGAAGGACGTCGTACATCGTGGCGGCCGACACATCTTTTATGGTCATTCTGCACTGAAATACAAACAGCAAAAGTAAATTGATTATTGGAGTAAAATAACAAATTAATTCCATCTCTAGATCTGCTCTTATCTATTGAGTATTCACTATAATAAAACATGATACCAGATAAACCAATGGTCATGGAAAGTTGGAAACACGCCCTAGGTGCTCTTGTGACAATGTTGCCACACAAAAACAAAAGGGTTGTGGTGGAAAATCAGATGTGTAACAGAAAAACTGTCATGCTGTCTCCAAGGGACTACAGCAGGCCCCTATTTAAAAAAATAAATAATTTAAAGTTTAAATTGACTGAAAATAAAAACATATTTTAGTCAAACAACTCGACTGATCCATGACCATGACTTCATACTGTTAGTTTTACAGTACAGACAGTGTATCAAAACACCAGGTGAGTCAAGCCAAGGTGTCCTTACCTTTATCTTGTGAACTTTTGGGACGTTTTTGTTTCCTTGAGGGGATGTTACAGGGGCCACCTCGACCCAGACCTCCATTCCGTTCTTGTCATATTTGCTGTACCAGTTGTCCGTTGACAAGGCTTGGCTTCTAAAGTCTGCGAAGACTGCCTCGTCTGGTATAATTCCCAAAAGAACTCGAGACATAATTTATATCCAAAAATAAATGTTTCTGAATGAATGAAAAAGCGGTAGCCTACTTAACGAACAACAAAAGAAAAATCGAAATGCTACAAGTAAAGTCACTGAATTGATGTTGGCCTGGATTTTTGTGTTGGATTCCTTACCTACCCAGTTTCCAGCCTAACGCAGAACAGCTCCTCACGCCACTGTTTCCGGAATCTAGAAAAATCTAGTCCGCGCTCCACACACCTAGGTTTGCAATGAGTGGTCGAGACCAACTACTCCTCGCTTGTGCTGGCTGACATTGGGAATAATGTTAATGTTAGCCACCCTATGTGTGTTTCGTACATAAAGTCCAGGGCAGGGTGTTCTTTACCTGCAGTTTTACACCACTCCCAACATGGCCACGCCCCTTTCAGCAAACAATATAAAGTCATGAGTAGAGTTTTGTTTGGCAAAAAAGTCACTCTCGAAGTTTAAATGCACAATATCTTATGCAACAACAAAAAATGTTTGCCCTCGTGGCACAGAAACTGGCCCGTTGGTTACATTCACTGATACACTGTGGATTGCATGATTAGGCCCATACATCTATGGATTAGGCAACATTCCATTCATTAGGGCTAATAACCTTTGACCTGCAATACAATATGAAATGGATGAAAGAGAGGTAAAATATAAATTACAAGATAATATAAACTCAGCAAAAAAAGAAACGTCCCTTTTTCAGGACCCTGTATTTCAAAGATAATTTGTGAAAATCCAAATAACTTCACAGATCTTCATTGTAAAGGGTTTAAACACTGTTTCCCATGCTTGTTCAATGAACCATAAACAATTAATGAACATGCACCTGTGGAATGGTCGTGAAGACACTAACAGATGGTAGGCAATTAAGGTCACAGTTATAATAATATAATACACTGCTTAAAAAAATTAAGGGAACACTTAAACAACACATCCTAGATCTGAATGAATGAAATAATCTTATTAAATACTTTTTTCTTTACATAGTTGAATGTGCTGACAACAAAATCACACAAAAATTATCAATGGAAATCAAATTTATCAACCCATGGAGGTCTGGATTTGGAGTCACCCTCAAAATTAAAGTGGAAAACCACACTACAGGCTGATCCAACTTTGATGTAATGTCCTTAAAACAAGTCAAAATGAGGCTCAGTAGTGTGTGTGGCCTCCACGTGCCTGTATGACCTTCCTACAACGCCTGGGCATGCTCCTGATGAGGTGGCGGATGGTCTCCTGAGGGATCTCCTCCAGAGACCTGGACTAAAGCATCCGCCAACTCCTGGACAGTCTGTGGTGCAACTTGGTGTTGGTGGATGGAGCGAGACATGATGTCCCAGATGTGCTCAATTGGATTCAGGTCTGGGGAACGGGAGGGCCAGTCCATAGCATCAATGCCTTCCTCTTGCAGGAACTGCTGACACACTCCAGCCACATGAGGTCTAGCATTGTCTTGCATAAGGAGGAACCCAGGGCCAACCGCACCAGCATTTGGTCTCACAAGGGGTCTGAGGATCTCATCTCGGTACCTAATGGCAGTCAGGCTACCTCTGGCGAGCACATGGAGGGCTGTGCGGCCCCCCAAAGAAATGCCACCCCACACCATGACTGACCCACCGCCAAACCGGTCATGCTGGAGGATGTTGCAGGCAGCAGAACGTTCTCCACGGCGTCTCCAGACTGTGTCACGTCTGTCACGTGCTCAGTGTGAACCTGCTTTCATCTGTGAAGAGCACAGGGCGCCAGTGGAGAATTTGCCAATCTTGGTGTTCTCTGGCAAATGCCAAACGTCCTGCACGGTGTTGGCTGTAAGCACAACCCCCACCTGTGGACGTCGGGCCCTCATACCACCCTCATGGAGTCTGTTTCTGACCGTTTGAGCAGACACATGCACATTTGTGGCCTGCTGGAGGTCATTTTGCAGGGCTCTGGCAGTGCTCCTCCTGCTCCTCCTTGCACAAAGGCGGAGGTAGCGGTCCTGCTGCTGGGTTGTTGCCCTCCTACGGCCTCCTCCACGTCTCCTGATGTACTGGCCTGTCTCCTGGTAACGCCTCCATGCTCTGGACACTACGCTGACAGACACAGCAAACCTTCTTGCCACAGCTCGCATTGATGTGCCATCCTGGATGAGCTGCACTACCTGAGCCACTTGTGTGGGTTGTAGACTCCGTCTCATGCTACCACTAGAGTGAAAGCACCGCCAGCATTCAAGTGACCAAAACATCAGCCAGGAAGCATAGGAACTGAGAAGTGGTCTGTGGTCACCACCTGCAGAACCACTTCTTTATTGGGGGTGTCTTGCTAATTGCCTATAATTTCCACCTGTTGTCTATTCCATTTGCACAACAGCATGTGAAATTTATTGTCAATCAGTGTTGCTTCCTAAGTGGACAGTTTGATTTCACAGAAGTGTGATTGACTTGGAGTTACATTGTGTTGTTTAAGTGTTCCCTTTTTTGAGTAGTGTTTAAATGCCATTTAGCAGACGCTTTTATCCAATGCGACTTACAGTCATGCGTGCATACATTTTTACGTATGGCTGGTCCCGGGGATCGAACCCACTATCCTGGCGTTACAAGCGCCATGCTTTAACAATTGAGCTACAGAGGACCACGAAAACGTAGGACACTAAAGAGGCCTTTCTCCTGACTCTGAAAAACACCAAAAGAAAGATGCCCAGGGTCCCTGCTCATCTGCGTGAACGTGCCTTAGGCATGCTGCAAGGAGGCAAGAGGAGTGCTGATGTGGCCAGGGCAATAAATTGCAATGTCTGTACTGTGAGACGCCTAAGACAGCGCTACAGGGAGACATGACGGACAGCTGATCGTCCTCGCAGTGGCAGACCACGTGTAATAACACCTGCATCCAAACATCACACCTGCGGGACAGGTACAGGATGGCAACAACAACTGCCCGAGTTACACCAGGAACGCACAATCCCTCCATTAGTGCTCAGACTGTCCGCAATAGGCTGAGAGAGGCTGGACTGAGGGCTTGTAGGCCTGTTGTAAGGCAGGTCCTCACCAGACATCACCGGCAACAACATCGCCTATGGGCACAAATCCACCATCGCTAGACCAGACAGGACTGGCAAAAAGTGCTCTTCACTTACGAGTCGCGGTTTTGTCTCACCAGGGGTGATGGTCAGATTCACGTTTATCGTCAAAGGAATGAGCGTTACACCGAGGCCTGTACTCTGGAGCGGGATCGATTTGGAGGTGGAGGGTCCGTCATGGTCTGGGGCGGTGTGTCACAGCATCATCGGACTGAGCTTGTTGTCATTGCAGGCTCCCTCATGTGGTACCCTTCCTGCAGGCTCATCCTGACATGACCCTCCAGCATGACAATGCCACCAGCCATACTGCTCGTTCTGTGCGTGATTTCCTGCAAGACAGGAATGTCAGTGTTCTGCCATGGCCAGAGAAGAGCCCAGATCTCAATCACATTGAGCATGTCTGGGACCTGTTGGATCGGAGGGTGAGGGCTAGGGCCATTCCCCCCAGAAATGTCCGGGAACTTGCAGGTGCCCTAGGGAAGAGTGGGGTAACATCTCACAGCAAGAACTGGCAAATCTGGTGCAGTCCATGAGGAGATGCACTGCAGTACTTAATGCAGCTGGTGGCCACACCAGATACTGACTGTTACTTTTGATTTAGACCCACTCTTTATTCAGGGACATATTATTCCATTTCTGTTAGTCACATGTCTGTGGAACTTGTTCAGTTTGTCTCAGTTGTTGAATCTTATGTTCATACAAATATTTACATGTTAAGTTTGCTGAAAATAAACACAGTTGACAGTGAGGACGTTTATTTTTTGGCTGAGTTTATATATTGACTGATGTATTTGAAACAAAACCATGCTGATCAATAACAATCTGACATTCTTCACTAGTAGGAACAGTTTCAAATGACAATTTTGAAAATAACATGTACGTAAAAGTAGTCCTATCCAAATAATATAAATCAATAATATTGATTAAAATAATTTGAAAGACGCTTGGAACAACTTTGGTGAAATATCTTTATTTCATGTGATACATTTCGGTGTTCTTTAATGCTCCTTTTTTTATACAGCAGATAGTACATTATTCACACAAACGTTGCTAAACACTAGACATTTCAAATGGACAGACACTTCAGAATAGCACACAGTTCAGTTGAGTACTCAGTGAGGGGTAATAGAACAGCTGTTAAGGTAAAGACGGTCGTTCGATGTAATTAAATACTAATCTACATTTTTTTTGTAAAAATGTAAAAAAAAATCTAACAAGCTACAGCGAATGTATTGGTGTGTGGTGGTGAAGATGGGACATTTATGGCTGTGTGGTTAGTTAGTGTGTTTCAAGGTGTTTGTGTGTCACTGTGTGTGTGTGAGAACATGATAAGGGACGGGGCGGAGCAACTAATTTTGGTCAAGTATACAATGCAATTTTGCAGTTGCTTGTAACAAAATAAATACAAACACAAAGCCAACAGTCCTACAGGCAATAGCGCTAAAGATTAACTTGCTTCACTGCACTTATTTTCACAGCAAGGGTGTTAGGAAGCGTTAGCTGTATCTGAGGACCAACTCTAGCTACCTGCCCTACAAAACAACTACTGTCAGCTGGCCTCTCCAGCTTTACAATATTGGGGCTTGAGTCAGTGTACAACGTTGGTAAACAAACAAGCAAGGCATCGGTTTTTCTTAACCGTCTATGAATCCTGCATGACGAGCAAGCCGTTCCTGTAATAGTGTGATGAAAACAAGACAATATACATCAATTGGAGTGTGAATAGGAACACATCGTACGGGCCCAATGCATGTTTCCATTTAGTGTGTAATAAGGTTTGACACCTGCTCACTCCATATGCTCATATTTGGACTTTAAACACCTCTTCTCCTCAGACACAAGGAGATGTGTTAGTATGTGTGCGGCTAATTGATGTAAATTGCTGTGACAAATTTGCTATAGTTTCGAAGTGTATATCAATAGATTTAGGTTAGTATTTTCCACTACAATGAATTCGGGATAATGTCCCTTTAAAAAAAATGCATATCCTTGTTTCCTTCGTGATTGGCTATCCATCCTTTCTGCAGCATTCTCTTTGGGAGACCTGCCAAAATAACAAACAAGTCTCCATTAAAATCGTCAGTCGATTAACTACAGTAATCCTAAGTGAAGTTCTTTGGCTGTTCATGCCTTGAGAATGTCCTGATAATAATGTCCCTTATTCATGGTCCTATAAACCATTAGGCCTAAATTAATAGCTTTCATTTGAGCCAACAAGGAGATAAAATAATATTAATAGTTTAGAGGGGAATCTTTTTGGAACAAAGTACATAAAAATCATGGGTATCAGTAACAGACACTTTGTTTATCACATACGTAGAATACTCTAGTTTACCCACTCCAGACTCTCCATTGGAAATAAAAGCAAATAACCAAGGGACTGAGACCTTGACCCTTTCATATTCACTTAAATAATCTAAAACAATATCACTTTACAACAATGCAATAACCCAAGAGCAGTTAGCTATGTCAGTCTGCAATCCTATATAATGTCATGCAGTTGGATGAAAATCGGAACATATTCAGCATTCAACATATTCTGTGTTTGACTTTTAACCTTTATAGTTTTTAATATTATCTGTTTAAATACAGAGTAATAGCACATCCACACGGTTACTCCGAAAAGTCACTGAGTCGAAAGGGGGGAAAAACAGGTTCTCCAATCGATGGCAGTGAACCATGGGTGGGGAGAGTGGCCACTGAGAGACAAGCTGTTGGTGGGGAGGAGGCAGGTCAGGTGGGGGGGTGAGGTGTTTACTAGCAGGAGCAGCTGCTCTCCGTCACCGCCATCTCTGGTGGCTTCTCCAGTTTGATATCGATCACTGAGAGAGGAGATGGTTAAGGAATATTATTCATGACTGTCATTTCATGTATCATTTTTTTTTTAATGACTCAAATATTATCCGCAAATTTAACAAAATTAAATCCATATGCAATAGATTACAACAGACACCCAGGTTTCCATCCAAACTTTCATGCGAGTAAAGTACCAAAATGGCAAGACAGGCCTGATGGAAACAGCACATTTGTCTATAAACTTTCTAAATGTCTACAAAACAAAATACGCTAGAGAAGGTGGGATCTTTGTAAAATAAATGAATGGCGGCGGAAACGCTTTAATGCGCAAATATTGATATAATAACCATCATATTGAAGTAAACTTGGAGTCACGTGACGATATGTTGTGTGGTCTTCCCACTACAACTCGGGAAAGCATGCAGTTATTAGGCTACAGATGAAATAAATGATGACCTTCACAGGGTGGTGAAAGTGCAAGGTGATGAGCTTGATGCTCCTTTCCAATAAATATTGAGGGTCTTATTCTGGTGACATGATCGACGCTTGCCTGCCGTTTGACATAAAAATAATCTAGCTCTTTTGTCCATAATAATCTCATAATGTAAGCTATACCCGCACTGTATCTGCGATCTGTTGGCTAGAGTGCACGGGCTAAGACCAGAGAGGGCACATTCACTATATAAACGCAATATTTTTTGTGACAAAACCATTAGTAGAGTTGAAAATGCGATGTAAACCCTTTATTATTTATATTTTTTCGGTACATAAGGAATTTAACGGCAAAAGCTATTTTTATGTGCACTAAGTCATCACGCACAGCCTTTTATCCACAACAAGTACATTTGATGGAAACATCTCTGGAGATTTTTCAATATTCGCATGACAATCTGTTAATTGGATAGAAACCTAACTACTGAAGCATTTCTGGAGTGTTGATTACATGTTGAGCTCAAACATGTTCCAAACCATTCTGCCTCGGGGCTTTGTGAAAGGATACTGTCCTCTTTGCTCTTCTCTGGTGTGCTATCCATCCCCGGAAGGGCTGCAGCGACACGACGAAACAGCTGTGGAACCACAAGAAAATAATCAGTGGAGCAAAAACAGCCCTTCCACACAATGCATCAATAATGTAAAGTTGGCCACATAACAGTGAAGAACTACACACAGTATACCAAACATTAGGAACACCTTCCTAGTATTGAGTTGTTGGAGGCGTTCCACAGGGATGCTGGCCCGTGTTGATTCCAATGCTTCCTACAGTTGTGTCAAGTTGGCTGGATGTCCTTTGGGTGGTGGACCATTCTTGATACACACGGGAAACTGTTGAGCGTGAAAAACCCTGCAGTGTTGCAGTTCTTGACACAAACCGGTGCTCCTGGCACCTACTATCATACCCCGTTCAAAGGCACTCAAGTATTTTGTCTTGTCCATTCTCCCTCTGAATGGCACACACACACAATCCATGTCTCAATTGTCTCAAGGCTTACAAATCCTTCTTTAAAACCTGTCTCATCTCCTTCATCTACACTGATTTAACAAGTGACATCAATAAGGGATCATAGCTTTCACCTGGTCAGTCTGTCATGGAAAGAGCAGGTGTTCTTAATGTTTTGTATACTCAGTGTAGATGGTATCATCTACTGGAAAGTCAATATTTCCATTTAAAAAAAATAAACATACAGTATATATTTGTACATAGGGCTACATGCATCGGACAAAACTGATTTGGGTATTTATTACACATGAAAAAATCTTGGAAACTGTGAGAAGCAGACATTTTGTGGAACGAGGTAAAATAAGAGAAAAACCCAACAACAACAACATGGAGCTAGACAGTGCAGTACAATTGACGCTGAAGCGTTCTAAAGCAGTGGACGTGAATGACAACAACACCTGAGCACTGAGGGGAATCACAATGCAGAAAGGAGGGGGACACGCCATGAGGAGCCAAGTGAAAAGAGAGAGAAGAGGGAAAACTAGAAGTTGTGAAAGAGGCAGCTGACGCTAGGAGGGCAGATTGGGCTGGACGATCCTGAGTGAACAGAAGCTCTACCTGTTTGACATTGTAGCCAGTCTTTGCGCTGGTTTCAATGAACATGACATTCAGTTCCTTAGCTCTCTGCTCGCCCTCTTCCGTGGTGATCTGTCTGCTCAGGCCACAGCCGAGAGGCGGAGAGATAGACAGACATGAAAGAGGACAGGCCGAGGGGGAAGGGAGAGATGGAGAGAGAGAAAAAAAGAGCTCAGAGATTCCAGTTTTTGGTTAGAAAGAGAGAGGGTTAGTTTGGTCATATCTCTGAGAAACAAAGGGATAGGAGAGGGAACAGCTTTGCTGAGAAGATGGAACAGTTTGACACGATATAGAGAAACAATCACTCACAGTACAGTCACTCGGTCCTCTAATCCACGTTGTACATCACAAATGATTCTTCCTAAGAGGATCATAATGAGCTGTTCTGTACACCTGCTGGTGGTAGCTGGACACCCACCTGTTTGACGTTATAGCCAGCCTTGGCGCTGGTCTCTATGTACATCACATTGAGTTCACGAGCTTTCCTCTCTGCAGCCTCAACAGATACTTGTCTGCCATGGTCCCAGGGGGAGGGACAGGAGGGGAGGGTGGTGGCAGTGGGTTGGGAGTGGACACCAAATCAAAGTGACATGGGGAGACACCGGGGAGAGGGAACAAAAAAATAAAAACAAAAATTTGACTGAAACTAAAAGGCTTAAAGGAAAACTCAACCCCAAAACTAGCTTTTAGTATTCGTTTCATTAGTTGAAATAGTCCCAAAATGTTTGCTTGTCAGCGCTCATGTTTTCAAGATATGTTTTGGGGTGGAATTTTCCTTTCACCAAATAGTAACCAGGGTCAGCATGGAGTAATGTTTGAAGTTCAATAGATCAAAATCATAAAACACATGAAAATGTATTATGTTGTGCAATATACTCAGTAAAATCAAAAATAAGATGGGATGCCAAATACATTCAAGGGAGGAGGGAGGAACCAGGCTTTGACAAAGGCTTCATACATACAACTGTTGTCAAACAGGTCGACATTTAGTTCAGGGACCACATTGCTGTTTACCACCACACCAACCTGTTTAACACCACACCAACTACTCTCGCCACACACACACACACACACACACACACACACACACCACCATGTACCTTTTATCAGCCAAGTCTGTTTTGTTTCCCACAAGCATGATAATGACATCACTTCCTCTCTCTGTTCTGACGTCATCAATCCACTTTGAGGTTTGCTGGAATGAGTTGAGATCTGAGGGGAAGACACGTAGCAATTTAGAACGCGTATAGAATGAGCATGATCACTTAAAATATCGTATGGAGGTATGAACTCAAGAGTGAAGGGGTTATTAATAACGTGAGATATATTTGCAAATCAGAACAGTCGTTGGTCTTCATTGAAAGTACAGTTGATTTCAGCAGAGTAGCCAGGTGTTAGTAAGCAAAAGTAAACAGTAAGTTAAGTTTAAGCACAGAAAGGAATAGTAGTCCCCACGCCACTGTTAATTCAAGGAAAAACTCCCTAAACCCCATGAAGTTGCATCATTTAAGTCCCTACATGGCATTGTGACACTAACTGCCTCCAATAATAGCAACATTACTCATACATTAAAGGCTGTTGAGGTTTGCTACTGTGTTATAGAAGACAACAACCTCCATCCCAATGTAATGTCCCAGTTGCCCACCCCCACTACAGTGATGAGAGCACAGCTTTAACTAGGCCTGGAGGCTCTGACTCACTGGTGATGTCATAAACCACCACAGCGATGGTGGAGTCGCGGATGTAGCTGGGAATGAGGCTACGGAAACGCTCCTGTCCAGCAGTGTCCCAGAGCTGGAGTCGGACCTGGGGATTGGGACGGAGGAGGAGGAGGAGAAACAGGGGACAGACGCAAAGGGGAAAATGGAGAAGAGGATTGACATAAAAGAGTTGCAAGAGAACAGCGAGGCAGCAGAGGTGAAAATGATCATGCATCCTGGAATAGGAAAAGGTTTCCCATTTAGCTAGCAGATGACCTGTTCCCAATGTTGACGCTTTTTAGTGACCTATTACGGATGGCAAATGTTCCAAATCAATGCTTTTGGTGCAATTAAAGTCAACCAAATGTTGCTGGTAACCTCTGCTAGCATTTCCCTCATTCCTTAGAAAAGCCCCTTTAGGGACAACATTTCCACAAGCACCACTGGATGTACTGAGCTTGAGAGTTCCATCACCCCCCTCTATAGGCCTATTTTTACCTATTGGGAGAAACGTAGAGGAAACATTGCACTAACAAAGTAATCTACAACATCTACTCACTTTAGAGTTGCATAGAATTTGCAGGGAATGGAAGCCCTGAAGCGCCAATAATCTATTTCCTGATCCGATTCCTCACTGACCACAAGCAAGTCTGGTTCAACTCATTGCTACAGTCCAGTGACGTTGCCAAGCTGTGGAAATGCTGTTTGCCCTGTTCTCCCCTTCCGTCCACTGAGAGAAGGACAGGGACGTGATACCTACTTGCTATGTCATAAACCACCACAGCAGCGGCTGAGTCTCTGATGTAGCTGGGGATGAGGCTGCGGAACCGCTCCTGCCCGGCCGTATCCCACAGCTGGAGCCGAATCTGTGGCCAACCGCGCAACAAACCGAGGAGCGGACACAGTTCGAAACCCAGCCATGGGGATGGAGGGGAGGGGTGGACAGAGAAAAAAAAACGTATAATGATGATGGAACTAAAAACAGAATCATGGCAGGAAAGAAAACTTGATGGGCTTCATGAAAACTGATAGTGAAACTGCAAATGATAGTTATTCTACGTCCATACTAAACAAGCAGTCTAGTTGGGATGGGATAAAACACAGACTACCTAAGCCCCTTTTTGACAGTGGCATGTAGAGCGACATACAATGTTTATGCAGGGGAACAAACTCAAGGGACATGTGAAATGGTTTCAAATGAAAGGCTCCAAGTGATGCAATGATATAGAAACAAAGTGGTACCTACCGTACGATCTTCCAGGTACATCGTTTTTGATAAAAAGTCTATGCCAATTGTTGCCTGCAAGACAAAAAACATTCTCCTCAGACATCATATGGCTGTACTACATTCAAGAAAATGCAGAAGAGGGATGGCCTTGTGTCCTTATTCAGCTTTGTAGCAGATTTTATGCAAGCTACTACCAGGTTCTAAAAACAGAACACGGCTCTCAAAGGCAAACATTTCCCCCCAAGCAAAAGAACCCAAAGAGCTTAGAACGGTGTGCATGCCAACTAATATTACTCATGTTATGTGTTAGTTTACATGCAATGAATTACCAGTACTGTACTTGAGATAAGGTAATGTACCTGATAGGTGTTGTCAAAGCTGTCATACATAAACCTGGTGATAAGCGATGTCTTCCCCACTGTAAAGACAGACAGGCAGAGCAAAGAGCATTTAGTTAACATTGACATTTGGGCAATTCCACAGTAGTTTTTCACTTTAAAAATGTATGTCAAACAAAAACCAATGATTGCAAAGTTAAATAAACCATACAGCCCTATGCACAATGACTATTCTGTGGTCCTCTGTAGCTCAGCTGGTAGAGCACGGCGCTTGTAACGCCAAGGTAGTGGGTTTGATCCCTGGGATCACCCATACACAAAAAAAAATAATTGATGCACGCATGACTAAGTCGCTTTGGATAAAAGCGTCTACTAAATGGCATATTATTATTATTATTATTATTATTACTTTCCACTAAAGATTTTACAAAAACATGTTTACTTGAAGAACAGTGCAGATGCAAAGTTTGGTAACAGAATGACCGTTTGTGCTGTTCGTGCCGTCATTCTCTTACCAAACTTTGCATCGGCACTGTTCTTTGTAATGGTGCAGACACACATAGAAATCTGACTGCCGATAGGTACTTAGCAAAGTAGGAGGCCATTCCTTTTCTTGCTAGAACAAAAGATGCCCCTGGTGTGTACCGATGACCCTGCCGTTTCTACTTGTAGAATCGCAATGCTCGTCAGTGGCCGAGAACTTCACTTTGGGCCAATCAGAGAGCACACACCTCTACATGGGGGAGCCGACAGAAGTAATCCATCACCTTTTCATCAGAATTGTTGTAACTAAAATAATAACGCTGCATAATAGTTTACTTTATAATCATTTTTTCTAGAGCAAGTCTTTACATCTAGCTAATTAGTTTTGTGCTTGAAGGATTTTTTTATTAGGTTCAGTTTGATAATGTATACCTGCTCATTAGTTAGCGTTAGCTTGCAAACTGAGCCAGGCAGTCACACACACTTTATATGAAACGAATGTGGTGGTAAATGCAGCACAATGCACACAACACTAAATGCTTGACCAAGCTAGCCATCTAGCAAGATGAAGAAATTATTAATTCACTCTCCATTATCCCATACAGTCAATACCAGTTCGCTTGCTAGCTAACATTAGCTTAACAGTTAGCATCGCAACATATAGGGCGTTCACGCACTGCTCTAGAATGTAGGGAAAAACCAAGTCAATTCAAGAGGGAGCTACTAAGATTCTCCCAGAGTAAAAAAAAATCTTAGTCGACCGATACTTGTCCAATTGATTGGTATACACTTTAAAACGTGTATTTGTGTGATCTGAGTCAATGTAGCAGAATTAAATACCGACAAAATGAATTATGTGGGTGCTAGATTGACTCAGTTCACAGTCTGCTCTGCTGGCTGCGGAGGTTGATGCGGAGAAAGAGGAGGGCAGTAAGTGTAGCAGAGGGGTGAGTGTGAAGCACGTGAGCTAGTTGACAGGTGACTGCTAGCCTCGGTCTTAGTTCATCCTTCCTCGACTCCTCTCATTCTCTAAACCCATTGGAGAAGAAGGTCAGGTACCTTGTACCTTCTCCTCCACTAGTTGCGGAGATATGATGAGAGTAATCAAGGAAAGAAAGTCAAACAAAGCCCTACCAGTAGTGCTGAGCGATTCACCAAAATGTCAGTTCTGGTGTTTGTTTGTTTTTAACAACTAATTTACCAACATCTGTTCAATTATTTGCATTGAATTTTTTTGGTGAGCTCAATGCGCACATAGCAGTTTCTCTAGAGACAAATCAGACCCAGCCTGAACTGTGCGATGTAGTAGGGAGTTATAGTTTCCCAACATGCCAATATTCTACATAATTACCACGTTTTATGCGCTAAACTAACTACAATGACCATATTCCATTACGCATCTACTTGTCCGGTCGGTGTTTCTTTTAGTCCGGCCCGGCCCGTTCCTCGCACCAAGCTAGTGGTGCGTGTTCCCAGTCCGGTACGGCCCGTGCCTGCTCCCCGCACAAGCCAGTGGTGCGTGTCGCCAGTCCGGCCCGGCCCTGCTCCTCGCACCAAGCCAGTGGTGTGTGTTCCTAGTCCGGTCCGGCCCGTGACTCCAAATCCAGACCTCCATGGGTTGATAAATTTGATTTCCATTGATAATTTTTGTGGGATTTTGTTGTCAGCACATTCAACTATGTAAAGAAAAAAGTATTTAATAAGATTATTTCATTCATTCAGATCTAGGATGTGTTGTTTAAGTGTTCCCTTTATTTTTTTGAGCAGTGTATATATATATACACACACACACTGAACAAAAATATAAACGCAACATGTTAAATGTTGGTCCCATGTTTCATGAGCTGAAATAAAAAAGATCCCATACATTTTCCATACGCACAAAAAACTTTTTTCTCTCAGATTTTGTGCACAAATGTGTTTACATCCCTGTCGATGAGCATTTATCCTTCGCCAAGATAACCCATCCACCTGACAGGTTTGGCATATCAAGAAGCATGATCCTTACACAGGTGCACCTTGTGCTGGGGACACTAAAAGGCCACTAAAATGTGCCGTTTTGTCACAACACAATGCCACAGATGTCTCAAGTTTTGAGGGAGCACGCAAATGGCATGCGGAGTGTAGGAATGTCCACCAGAGCTGTTGCCAGATAACTGAATGTTAATTTCTCTACCATAAGCTGCCTCCAACGTCGTTGTAGAGAATTTGGCAGTACGTCCAACCGGCCTCACAACCGCAGACCACGTGTATGGCGTCATGTGGGCGAGCGGTTTGCTGATGTCAACATTGTGAACAGAGTGCCCCATGGTGGCGGTGGGCTTATGGCACGGGCAGGCATAAGCTACGGACAACAAACACAACTGCATTTTATCGATGGGAATTTGAATGCACAGAGATACTGTGACGAGATCTGAGGCCCATTGTCGTGCCATTGATCCGCCGCCATCACCTCATGTTTCAGCACGATAATGCACGGTCCCATGTCGCAAGGATCTGTACACAATTCCTGGAAGCTGAAACTGTCCCAGTTCTTCCATGGCCTGCATACTCAGACATGTCAACCATTGGGCATGTTAGGAATACTCTGGATCGACGTGTACGACAGCGTGTTCCAGTTCCCGCCAATATCCAGCAACTTCGCACAGCCATTGAAGGGGAGTGGGACAAAATGAAGCAAATGGCAGTCACACCAGATAATGACTGGTTTTCTGATCCATGCCCCTACCTTTTTTTAAGGTATCTGTGACCAACAGATGCATATCTGTATTCCCAGTCATGTGAAATCCATAGATTAGGGCCTAATTTATTTATTTCAATTGACTGATTTCCTTATATGAACTGTAACTCAGTAAAATCTTTGAAATTGTTGCATGTTGCGTTTATATTTTAGTACAGTATATATGCCCAATTTTGTTTTGTATTCCACAGATTTCATTTAGAGAAAGCCCATGTTATCAACCTAACCTCCAGCCACTAACTAGCTTGTCAGTTGGTGTTCGACGTTTGCTCCGTTCTGCCCGCAAAGCATGACAGTTCTATTGAGCAGTGACCACTTTTTGACCATGGCCGTGACAAGCGATTCACGCTAATCATGCTAAAGTATCAGAGTAAATCGTCAAACATCTGACCCATATATGGTAGAGACATGGGTTTGGGCTATTGTTTTTCTGATGCAATTCTCTATTGAATAAACAATTCTATAAACCTTGAATGAAAGAGTACAACAGTGGTCACCAACCTAGTCGATCACCAAACATTTCTGTAGAAAAGCCAATGATAAAGCCTTGCGGTCCTATTTTTAAAAAATGTATTCGTCTTGCACTGTTGGCGGTAGGTGCACTTGATTCACAAGCCCTGCGCACCAGGTAGGCAAAGTGTTCCCATTTGGAAAGTTTTCATTCATTCAGGGATAAACTGACTACCCGGGGGACCAGTAGAGCTAAATCAAATGTGCCTACTGCGCTGGACAATCGGATAGCTCAAATCACCATGCCTAAAGCATCCACGACCCCAAACCAAAGTTTCATACTAGCCTATGTGAGATTTCATTAATTTTAAAACCATGAACATTGAGAGACTGTCAAAGAATACAGAAAACACTTTTATTCAACACTTTTACAAAGCATAAAAAGGCTTCTACCTACTTCCACTCGCACTACAACCAGCACTGCAGCTGCAATTAATTAGTAGCCAAGTGTATCGATAGGCCTGCAGTTTATTATTAGCAGCTCGTCATGTCTATTTTAATATTGAGGAACATTTCACTTACTCTGGTCATAGGAACAACATAAATCTGTGCATGAGGCAGAAATAATGCAATGCGACTCGAGTGTCGCCATCAGGTGGAAGACTGTCCCCTCTCTCTGGTCAGTCTCACCGGAGGGAGGGAGAGAGCAGGGACAGTGAAAGGCGGATCCTCTGCTGCTCTCGCCCTCCCTCCGCTGAGACTGACCATCAGATGCAGGTATACAATCAGTGCAGTAAAATAAAAACGCTAATTATTAGCAAATTATTTCCATTTATGCTGAGCTGTGCCTCATAAGGGATACAACTGATAAAATGTTTTTTGAAATATAACAAGGTCTGAGAAGAACACTATAGCCAATAGTAAAAAAAAAAAAAAAAAAATGTTGGGATCCGTTTTATAATTGAATTAACACACTCCAGACTGTGCATTGCCAGTTTGGTTGAAGTGACTTAATATTACTTAACACAAACCTCATTCCTACAGAACTGTTTTTATTAGGTTAAGGTTGCATAGGCTTACATTTTTTAAGTCATGTTTAAAACAAAAATCTGAGCAGTAGATCTCAGCTTGCTTTTTGACTCCAAAAGTGATCCTGACTCAGAAAAGGTTGGTCACAACTGCCCTACAACATAGCAAGCCATCTACTCTGACTCTTGACAGCTAACAGGCAGCTGCTTCATTAAAAAACAAATACATTTTTATTTTATTATAATGTTGCTAGTTACACTAGTTATCTAGTTGTGGCCATCTGGTAAGTATCAACAAGGGCTTACTACAAATTCTAGCTAGCCAACTAGCAACAACATTAGCGCTGCTGGCTAGTTAGCTTACATTAGCTACAGCAGGCACAAGCCAAACAAGCTACTGCCACCTTGTGGCCTGGAGTATTTCAACAACGCAAATCGGAGGTAAAACCGCAGCTTTTCTAAACCCAGAGGCGCAACATTGCGTGACTTCCGGGAATGCTTGTGAAAACAGACCAGGCTGGGGTTATAGAAGTGACATTTCTTTCCTTAGGTTTTAATTTTCTCTAAACCTAAAGGCACAACCTCAAATCAAATTGTATTTGCCACATGCTCTGAATACAACAGATGTAGACCTTACAGTGAAATGCTTACTTACAAACCCTTAACGAACAATGCAGTTTTAAGAAAAATAAGTGTTAAATAAAAAGTGTACAAGTAAAAAAATAAAATAATTAAAGAGCAACAGTCAAATAAAATAACAGTAGGGAGGCTATATACAGGGGGTACCGGTACAGAGTCAATGTGAGTCGGGCACTAGTTAGTCTAGGTAATTTGTACATGTGGGTAGAGTTAAACCTAGATTCGACCCAATGTCTTAAGTAGATGAACATGTTATTACTCCAATCTCGTGAAAATTACAAACTGACACGTTTCAGTTTCGTCAAAAACTACTTTATATCGAAGAGTGTCTTTAATTTGACGTCCTGCATAAGAGCAGTTCCGCGCGAGAAGACCGTTAGACCCGATTACCTATTTCTGCGCAGTTAGCCAACGTTGCCATGACATCTCCTACAAGTGTGATCAAGAATTCTATTGGAGAAGCAGTTTTTGCTTATCTTCATACTGTACTGTCTTTGGTAAAACTGTTCTATGTGAACAACAAAATGTTAACTGCTTACACTCTGGGCAGAGATTCTAAGTACCTAACGTTATCAGCAGTCATATTTCTCTGTGTCTGACCCTTAATTTTCAGTGGAAATGGTTAAAAGCCGTCCTTGTGCATACAGTTGTATGGTTTATTTAATTTACAATAATTGGTTTTTGTTTGGCATACATTTTAAAGGGGAAAATCTGAGTCTCAGCATCATTCTGTTACCATGTCATTGCCCATTTGCTAAATTATGCAGTTACCATAGAATTGTCCATTTACTAAATTATGCACGATCCTCTGTGGAACTGCAATTTGAGAGGAACAGTAATAAACTTAGCCTAGGCCGAATTATTTTATTATGAGCATTTAGCTACTTAAAACCATTGACAATACTGACAGTGACCATGCGTTAAGTGATCCTATATGTGATTATATCGTTTATTGGTATGATAAAATATCTAAAAACGAATCGCTGGACCGATGGACTACTGAACCCACGGCGCTGAGCTGGCAAGGGTGGAGCCACGAATGGAAGAGATAGCTAGCAAAAATGGACAGGAAAATCGATACACGGTTTTGGGACTAAATTAAGATTCGTTTGAGGAAATAATATTCCATATGTCTGTTTTATTTATCTGAATGTTGACGTCACTGGAAATGGTCACGGTTGAATAAGCGGCCCAGTGCGTTTGAAGCCAAGCTAACGTTACTAGGCTCCCTTTGCTAACAGACGTGGCTTAGTAAAGTTAACGTTAGCTAGCTATCCAACTGTTAAAGTTAGCTACATGACTCCACACAAGCTGAAGCTGGCAAGTAAACATAAAAACATTCACATAAGTTAGTTAGCTAACTAAATAAGTCTAACTACCCAGCAGAAGCATGTGTAACTTCAACTAACGTTAGTGAATGACACCGACAATTCAGTAATGTACTGTAGCTAGCCAACTTAGTTACGAGATATGCATGACTTGGCTTGCTTGCTATATACGTTGGCATCTTCTTGGGCAACGTCTCAAGCAACACATTTTCCTGATTCAATGGAATATCTAGCTAGCAAGTTCCATTTGCGTGTTAGAGGCCTTGGCTAAAATATAGTTAACCTAACAAGGCATCGTCTGAGTTGTTTAAAGCCTCATCGTTCTGCCTCGGCCTGGCTAGCTAGCTACCTACCTACTGTAACAGCTAGGCTAATGCCAGCTGGCGGTACTCTAACCAAAACGCCAGAAAACAAATAACCACATAACATGCCTTGAATACACCTACACTTACCACTTTGCTCGCCTAAGAATACGAGCTTAAATTTCCGCAAGGGGTTGCCAAACTCTCCGCCGCCGGTCGTGGTTGACATCTTTATCAAAAGATAAACAACAGCTAGCTATATGGCTAGTTTCCTATGTTGTCTCGATGGGGAAGAGGCGCAGGGTTGTAACGCCAGAGACAGTAGAGAAAGCGAGACACCCACTCCCTCTTCTTCGTTGGGGTTCATCCAATGTTTTTCTTCGTGTGAATTTCCGGCAGACTAGAAGCTGTGTTGCTTATTGCTGCCTTTCGCAGGTCGGAGTGCGGCTTGCACATTTTGATCACAAAACAAAAGTTAAAAGGTGAAGGGGAAGGGGAAATTTTTAAATTGCACCACCATCTAGCCCTGCACCTTACCTATATACTATCCCCAAAACCCTACACCCCATCCCACTACTTTGTCCCTAAACGATCCTACACGAGGCTGTTGGCCTGGGAGGATGGAACCCCTTCTCTCGAAACCCTGTACATCTTGTGCACTAAAATCTCTCACACCAAAATATTTATCTGCTGCTGCAACTACCTCACCTATCTTCTGTGATTTCTACTCCATCAGTGCAGTGCAGTTGATCACCATGGCTATAAACACAAGAAATCGAACCTTACTGAAACTCATCCTCTTGATCTCTCTCTTCAGGCCTACTCACAGGGGGGTCCCAGTCTAAACCCTCATTATTGGGTTATCCTCTACTCTCCTTACTGCCTCAGCATATGAAACCTTATTCCCCACTCGAACTCTGGCAATCTCAACATGCCTCATTTGTACAGGGCACATCGGATCCCCAGCTGCATGGGCATCCCCTTGGCACCTAAAGCATCGTAGCGGGTTAAGAACAATGCCCTCACAGAATAGCTAATATGTGACCGACTGCATCGATACGGTCTTATGTATAAAAATTTGAAAATGTTAATTTTTTTGTATTATTTTTTTTTTTACATTAGATCAAAGGAGAGACTCAGAGCTACAAAATGGTATATCATACACTGTAGTTGATTTGAAAGTTGATAAACTTGTAATCTCACTTTTGAGAAACTGGCACCTAATGTTTGGTACACCTACTGGAGAGCCCTTTGTCTACACCTATTCAGCATCGTTCACACCCTCTTAAGCTTTAGCCCCACCCATCTCTTTAAGGGTTCATGTGAGGCATGTACTAAACAGAGTGAGTAAAGTAGTGTAATAAACAATCAAAGATTTCCAGACTAAAAGTGGTGAAAGTAGTAGCCTACAATAAGGAAAAACTCCAGGTAAAAATACACTTTATCTAGTCCTTGGCCTATATCCTAATCTGACTTTGAAAGTGTCCAGATACAAATATTGTATAAATATTATATCATTATTAGATGATGCTTACCCAGACACACTTGTCTAAATTGATGATGGGTCATGTGAAAGAAATGCTATAACCACCCCCCAGCCACATCTAGCTAAGTGGATAGGTCACTATTGTCTAGACATGTACACATATTCATGAAATACAATAGATGGCTGTAATCACCCCCAGACACATCTGGCTAATTTGATGGGTCAAGTAAACATCTGGCGAAGTGGAGTCTTTTGTTTAGCTAGCTAAACAATTAACCATAATCCCAACCCAAAGCTACAGTACAAACGGATTGTCATAGCTAGCCACCTTGCATGAAATGCTGGATTATGAATCTGCAGGCAGCTAAAGCTAACTAACTAGGTTCAACGTTAGCTAGCTAGCTAACATTAGGCTATAACTAGCAATGCAAATGTATTTCTGAGATACTAATAATATTACTACACAGATCATACACATAACGTTAGCTAGCGAGCCAGCAAGCTAACATTCACTAGCTAGCTAACAGTACACTTTAACTTGCAATGAAAACGACTTTCTGACTAAATTAGAAACTTATAATATCAGAAATTGTAGCTAGCCTCTTACCCATATACATGAATAATAATAATATGCCATTTAGCAGAAGCTTTTATCCAAAGCAACTTACAGTCATGCGTGATTACATTTTTGTGTATGGGTGGTCCCGGGGATCGAACCCACTACCCTGGCATTACAAGCGCCGTGCTCTACCAGCTGAGCTACAGAGGACCACATGAAGGCTTCATGGCAGTGTCTTTTCCGTTTGGTTTGTAACTAGCTACAGCTTGTTTGGTCCGTTGTTGTGTCAAGTCACTCATGTTCACAATGAATGTGTGCAGGAAGTAGTTCATCACAACTTTTTCCCACTGATTTTGTTGATAGCGCCTGCTAAATTTAGAGCAGCAATGTTGTTGAGAGCAGAAGCAACACTTTTGCAGTTCTCCATGGCTAATGTTATATCTTTCAAAAAAGCTGCTGTAGCAAGGATTATCTACACATACTGACCAGCTCATGTTACAGACAGAAGCGTGCCTCATTGCAGACCAATCTGAACTAATCTCTCGGCATGTTCAGCCCATCCATTAAATCAAATCAAATCAAATTGTATTTGTCACATACACGTGTTTAGCAGATGTTATTGCGGGTGTAGCGAAATGCTTGTGCTTCTAGCTCCGACAGTGCAGTAATATCTAACAAGTAATATCTAACAATTTCACAACATATACCCAATACACACAAATCTAGCAAGGAATGGAATTTAAGAATATATACATATATGGACAAGCAATGGCAAAGCGGCATGGACTAAGATACAGTAGAATATTATAGAATAGAATACAGTTTATACAAATGAGATGAGTAGTGCAAGATATGTAAACATTATTAAAGTGACTAGTGTTCCAGTGATTTCAATAGGCAGCAGCAGCCTCTAATGTGCTAGTGATAGCTATTTAACAGGCTGATGGCCTTCAGATAGAAGCTGTTTTTCATTCTCTCGGTCCCAGCTTTGATGCACCTGTACTGACCTCGCCTTCTGGATGATAGCGGGGTGAACAGGCAGTGGCTCGGGTGGTTGATGACCTTGATGATATTTTTGGCCTTCCTGTGACATCGGGTGCTGTAGGTGTCTTGGAGGGCGGGTTGTTTGCCCCCGGTAATGCGTTCGGCAGACTGCACCACCCTCTGGAGAGCCCTGCGGTTGCGGGCGGTGCAGTTGCCATACCAGGTGGTGATACAGACCGACAGGATGCTCTCAATTGTGCATCTGTAAAAGTTTGTGAGGGTTTTAAGGCTAAGCCAAATTTCTTCAGCCTCCTGATGTTGAAGAGGCTCTGTTGCGCCTTCTTCACCACACTGTCTGCGTGAGTGGACCATTTCAGTTTGTCAGTGATGTGTACGCCAAGGAACTTGAAGCTTTCCACCTTCTCCACTGCGGTCCCGTCAATGTGGATAGGGGGGTGCACCCTCTGCTGTTTCCTGAAGTCCACGATCATCTCCTTTGTTTTGTTGACGTTGAGTGAGAGGTTATTTTCCTGGCACCACACTCCCAGAGCCCTCACCTCCTCCCTGTAGGCGGTCTTGTCATTGTTGGTAATTAAGCCTACTACTGTTGTGTCGTCTGCAAACTTGATGATTGAGTTGGAGGCGTGCTTGGCCACACAGTCATCGGTGAACAGGGAGTACAGGAGGGCGCTGAGCACGCACCCTTGTGGGGCCCCAGTGTTGAGGATCAGCGAAGTGGAGATGTTGTTTCCTTCCTTCACCACCTGGGGGCGGCCCGTCAGGAAGTCCAGGACCCAGTTGCACAGGGCGGGTTTCAGACCCAGGGCCTCAAGCGTAATGATGAGCTTGGAGGGAACTATGGTGTTGAATGCTGAGCTATAGTCAAGGAACAGCATTCTTACATAGGTATTCCTCTTGTCCAGATGGGATAGGGCAGTGTGCAGTGTGATGGCGATTGCATCGTCTGTGGATCTATTGGGGCGGTAAGCAAATTGAAGTGGGTCTAGGGTGACAGGTAAGGTAGCGGTGATATGATCCTTGACTAGTCTCTCAAAGCACTTCATGATGACAGAGGTGAGTGCTACGGGGCGATAGTCATTTAGTTCAGTTACCTTTGCTTTCTTTGGTACAGGAACAATGGTGGCCATCTTGAAGCATGTGGGAACAGCAGACTGGGAAAGGGAGAGATTGAATATGTCCGTAAACACACCAGCCAGCTGGTCTGTGCATGCTCTGAGGACGCGGCTAGGGATGCCGTCTGGGCCGGCAGCCTTGCGGGGGTTAACATGCTTAAATGTCTTACTCACGTTGGCCACAGAGAAGGAGAGGCCACAGTCCTTGGTAGTGGGCCTCGTCGGTGGCACTGTATTATGCTCAAAGCGGGCGAAGAAGGTGTTTAGCTTGTCTGGAAACGAGACGTCGATGTCGGCGACGTGGCTGGTTTTCCTTTTGAAATCCGTGATTGTCTGTAGACCCTGCCACATACGTCTCGTGTCTGAGCCATTGAATTGCGACTCCACTTTGTCTCTATACTGATGTTTTGCCAGTTTAATTGCCTTGCGGAGTGAGTAGCTACACTGTTTGTATTCTGCCATATTCTCAGTCACCTTGCCATGGTTAAATGCGGTGGTTCGCGCTTTCAGTTTTGCGCAAATGCTGCCATCTATCCACGGTTTCTGGTTAGGGTAGGTTTTAATAGTTACAGTGGGCACAACATCACCTATACACTTCCTGTGATGAGTGTGATAGATAGAGTCAGGCGCAGGAGGGTAAATCACCGAATACAGAGTTTATTCTGTTGTACACAATTGCGCTGGATAGCGACACATGAAAACAGGCACAGGGGAAACTATCTACCCTGGCAATACACGGTACAGGATACTCCAACAATATACAGGCACAGGGGAAATATCTACCCCGGCAATACAAAGTGCGAGTAGCTCCACTGAGCTACACTACTCTCACAAAAAAACATCACCCACAAGGACAAGGGGGGCAGAGGGAACACTCATACACAGACTAATGAGGGGATAAGAACCAGGTGTGTGTAAATGACAAGACAAGACAAATGGAATGATGATATATGGAGCGGCAGTGGCTAGTAAGCCGGTGACAACGAACGCCGAAGCCTGCCCGAACAAGGAGGGGAGGCAGCCTCGTTGGAAGTCGTGACACTTCCTGATAAACTCAGTCACCGTTTCAGTGTATTTGTCTAAATTATTTTCGCAAGCTACCCGGAACATATCCCAGTCCGCGTGATCAAAACAATCTTGAAGCGTGGATTCCGATTGGTCAGACCAGCGTTGAATAGTCCTTAGCACGGGTACTTCCTGTTTGAGTTTCTGCCTATAGGAAGGGAGGAG